GCCCCCGAGCTCCGGTGGGCTGCCCTGAGGGGCGGCCCCTGAGATCCTCGCTGCCCCCCGAAGCCTTCAGGCAAGTCGCCCTGCCGACGGGTTGTTAAAGGGACTCGATGCTCCCTCCGGTTTCCCGGCCCCAGGGGGGAGCGCGGGACCTCCGTGAGGCCGGGAGCGCCCGGGCATCGAGCTGCTCTCACCTCGCACCCCGGCCCTGCTGACCAGCTCCGGCGGGAGAACACGCTGTAAGTCACGGCTCCGTGTCAAAATGTCGTGCTTCTCCGTTTAAAAATAAATACCTCAATTAATCGTCGCTGAAACACGTGCCCTGAAGCAGATGTCTTTCGCCCCTCTTCAGGTAAAATTCAGAAAGTGTTTCTGCCTTTCCCTCCTAGCAGAGCAGCGCTCCCATGCACGGAACAGGCGGGATGTGTTCTCAGAGCGTCACCCGCACATCCCAGAGGCACTACCCCTGGGACCGAAACGTTTGCAGCTTTGCCCTGAAATGTTACTTCTTTGTGAGGGCAATCTCACCCCTTAGAAAAGGAAAGAAAAAGAAAAAAAGCTATCCATCCTGTTTACATGAGTAGCTAGGTAAAGGCTGCGCAGACATAAACTTTTTGCTCAGTGGGTAGCGGATAAAAGGTCCGGGAAGTTTTGGATTTTGATGCAGTGGTCAGTCTCTTTGTGCTCCTTTCCCTTCTTCCTGTCTGTGTGTGACCAGACTCGGCAGCACTGAAGCAAAGTGAAAAAGCCCTGACTTACCACATTTTACTGTCAGTTGAATAGTATCTTTTTTTGACACTGAAAACTTAACTGCATAAACTTAGATGCTTTAAGGATGAGAAACCTCCTGGCACTTTGTATTTCTTGTTCCCCTTACAAAATAATGAATAAAACCATTTTTCAGTATGTTCTAAAAGAACATTTAAATAAATGATTTGATGGCCTTTGTTTCTCTTCTCAAAACATCCCGAAAGATTGCTCAGAATTTTTTAACATGGCTTTGGGGTACGAAATCTGCTTGGTGTATATGATATGTAGCCTGTGAAGTATTAAATGGTTCTGAAGGTAGACTCGGTAGGAGCAAAGCAGAGAACAAGGGCTAGTGCTGGAGTGCAAGACTGGAAAACCAGTTACGTGCTTCTCTGAGGATGAGCCAGTCAATTCCTCTGCATTGCAGCTCTCTTATCTCTCACCTCGCAGGGGCGTTGGAAGCATTAATTGCTTCCTCTAAAGTATGTTAAGATGAAGAAATGGATGGTGCCTGTGTAGGTGCTAAGTGTTCTTTCTCTGTTCATTCTTAATACTAATAGTAGCATGCGTGTTCCAAGGAGGAGAGTGAGCTATCTTGGTAGAATAACAATCCGCAAGGGTTTGGCACTCTTAAAACAATACTCGTCTTCAGAAGTAATAAATACAACAGAAAGAGCAAAATTCAGCAAGCGCCTTATTCATTCTATCCTAATGCCATGTTAGGTTCTGAGCATGCCACCTGTCTGAAAAAGCAGTTTAAAAATACTTCAGAGCAGTTTTGTCTCATGTAAGGACTTCTTTTTTGCCACCTGACTGGTAACCAGGCACTGGCACAGAGCAGAAATGTTCACTTCTCGGTATAGTTTTCCTTTTAGTTCGTATAATAGACAACTGCTGTCTTTAGTCATGAAAATAACAAACCTCCAAATGTTACTAAGATGCTTTCAACAAGCTCCTGACAGTGCAACCGCACAGATCTTTAAACTAGTATATAAAAGATATTTTCTGCGTCAAAAAGATTTTATACTTCATTTTTCCCTAGTTGTTCCACACTACGCTCCTCTGTAATAGTGGTTATTTACTCGGTGTGTACAAAGACTCTGTCTTTGGCATTGTCTTTGTTAAAGAGGTCGATCCTTCACAGTTCCAGATGATTTCGGTACGAGTGGGCTGTATTAAACAACTCTGCTTCAGTCATGTCAGTGGCTCTGCAGGAACCTATCTAGTTTGTCTGCTCATATTTTCTGGTTTTCTCATCCTTTAATATATCGTGGCCAAATGAAACATAAGGCCAAGGAAAGACTTCTTTCTCCAAACTTCCATTATATGGCACTGCATAGTATTAGTGTCCTCTTTAGAATAATGTATTCCTGACAACTGAAGAACGCAAAATAGTGCCACAGAGGTGCAAGAACGAATAAAACATGCAAGGGTAGATAGACAAACTTTAAACGTATAGCTTGTGTAACTGGGGTATTTGCACCAAAGCATCTTTTTTGTAATATACCGTGGGTGGGCCACGCGCCAGTAACCACGATGAAAGAATCACATTTTTCCAGAAAAAAAAAAAATCTGTAATACTTACCGTATGATGGTGAAGGGCATGTAAGAGGAGAATGGACATAACTGATTGAATTAAAGGTAGTGAATGCTTAGAAAACAGTAAAAGAAACAGCAAAATTATAAAATAATTTGTCTCTCAGCAATCTGTGTTTCCAGCAATTAGCAGCGTGGAGTTTCCAGCGTGGGTGCTCCATTCAGGCCATCACATTTAACACCTATTTATATCCCTTCAATGAATTCTTCTTAACATCTGTTTTAATTTGTTTTGACTTTGGTTGCAACAACAGCTTGAGCCATAGAGTTCCAAGATTAATTACACATTTTGTATAGAAGTACCTCAGTTTCACCCCATTAGCTCTGTACTTGCTGCTTGATATTCTTACTGGGTGGTCTTCCATTCGTGTATTCTGAGAAACAGTGCGCAGTCATTTTTAATACACTTTTTAATGCGGGCTTCAGTCTTCTCCCTTAGCCTTCACAGCCAGAAGGAAAGTCCCGGTCACTTCAGTTTTCCCCCTACAAAAGACACTCCCCACCTCCCCTCACCCTCATCTTCCTCTATGCTTTTTGGGGGTTTTTTCCTACTAGAATGTTTCTTTCTCCCTCCCAGAGGAGACAGGAATGTAGAACATGCCTTTGCTTTCCGGATAGGTAAGCGGTGTTGCAGTCGGGCTGGTTATCAGTGGGTTGATTGTGTGACCCGTGTAAGTTCACGTCTGCTCAGCTTTTACAGGCTGGGGTTCAATAAAACCAGTGCTTTTCCTTGACAAGTACTTTCAAATATTGAGTTGCATTATTTAAAATGTATGTAGTGTGGTGCCAAAAAATGTATTCCTAGCTCTACTGGAATATCTACCACGACCTTCTAACCAATCTGTCATGCCAGAAGGTAACCTTTTTTTTTTTTCTGGCAGGTGAGGTTGGAGAAAAGATTTATGTATATTTATTTCCTTGAACAGATCCTTTGACTTCTGTATGAGCTGATGCAGAGAGGAAAACAAAGCGGAAGGAAGAAGCCAATTCGTTTTCATCTGCATTTTACATCAATAATTACACAAAATATCGAACCCTTTCCGACCACCTAATAGAAATAAAATGGGCTGATAGATAACAGACTGACAGTTACTGCATGTATACTGCCTTTCAGTGTCATTCATTGCTTATTTTTTAGGTAATAGCAGCCTGTACTGTTCTACTTACTCAATTTTATTGCTTTTGCTATATTAGCTTTTCAAATGCAGAACCACAGGTAAACCAAATGTAACTATTCATCAACCCCACGAAGTATCATAACATTAAAGCGATCACAGCTAATGCATCAGTGAATCCCACGCCTCCTCTGATGGAGACTTCCTGTACGACCACACAGCCCAGCTTTACTGTTTGAAAAGAAATTGGATAACCTTTGAGATAAATTTGCCTGCCCTGTGTGAGAAGGTTGAAATACCCTTGCATTTAAATACTTTATGCCCTGTACTCCCTTTATGTCTTGAACACAAATCTTAGAGCTTTTTTAAAGCAGGGTATGACACTTAGTCCCCTCATCTGATATAGTAGGTGTGTGTAATGATAAATTACATACATTTGGCAGTAGTTCAGTTACTTCAGACTTTCGTTTCTTCAGGACTCTTAGACAAATGTCATCTGGGCTTTGTGATTTAATTTCCTTTTTTCTTGTGCAGCTTAGTAACCGCCTGTGTCTTGCCTGCCTTACTTATAAAGGGTAAACCTTGGGCTGCTTCTTCTCGTCCTCTCATTCTAGAATCATTTACCTCTGCTTCTGTTTTCTTAATTAAAGAATAGAATACATTTCTCCAGTAATGGAACTGAAGTAAGGGCATTAAGGCATACTGCACCATGTTTTGCTGCTTTTTTAGCTGCATCAGTCTGCTTCAAATTGAAAAAGATGAGTAAGAACAGTAAAGCTGAAAAACACACAGAATCGAGTCTAACCCTTTACTCGGACTTTGAGCCTCTTCCTACAGTTACAGGCCCAGAAGGAGCCTCAAATCTCTGTGAACTCTATTTCAGGCGCAGTGAGAAGTCGGCGTTGAGCACTCCGAGGCCTGTACTTACCCGGGGAACCAACCCGTGCTGGAGACGGCGAGGAGCGTCTCTTCTCCTGGTTCCTCCGGAGGCAGGAGCCCGCCGTTTGCCTGCTGCACGCCGGGACTGCTACTCACATCGCTGCTCAGTACCACTCAGTGATGGTAAAAATAATATTCCAGAACTGTTTTCAGTGTGAGGGTGAGGATGATCAAAAGGACACAGGCGCTTTTAGATGCAAGGCGCTTGTGATGCAAGGAAATATTTAGGAAAACCCTTTTTGCCCTGAATTCAAAACACTGATAGCCAGATGTGTCTATATTTGGCATTACCAGAGAATTAATTTTGTCATCAACCTATTTCCTGAAGTTTGATAAAATTTCATTTCAGAGGTAAAGGATTTATAGCTTACTTTCCCTCAACGCACATTATCATTTATATAACTGACAGCTTCAGTTGTTAAAAGCAGTACATGAGGTTTTTTTTCCAATAAAGGGCTCACATCTTTCTGACATTTATTACAAGTTTATTACTTCTATACCCTTCTCAGTGAAGCTCTTTCATTCATTGTGGGAGTGTCTGAAGTACAGATTCTTCATTACCTGTGACTTACCATTAATTTTAGCCCAGAAGTGGTTTCATTTTGACTGGCTGTTAAAAACAGGAAGGGCATAAAAACACATGAAGTCAATTAGGCTAAGAAAACTCATTTGCAATGGAAGGGGAAAGTGAAGTTACGGGTTTTTTCCCAGGTGACACGTCTACCTTCTCAGGAGAGGGAGAGGGTGGGTTAGTCACTCTTTTGATTTACGTTAGAATAAAAATCACTGCCTGGAAGACTGAGTGAACTGGCTACATGATATAGAATTTTTTTACTTCTCTATCACCATTGTGGTGATTATATTAAGACAACAGAGTCCTTAACCAAGTGCTTAATTGAGAAGCATCCTTTGTCCCAGACAGATAGTAAATCACATTCTAAAGGCCTTTCTGTATCTGCACACAGATGCTAAATTCGAATTGCATGGTCACCTGTGGAGGAAGAGGCCGTCCCCTGCCAGCTGGTCCCTGTGCCAGAGAATGGTCCTGGGTAAGTTTAATGAACAAATACAGATGAAGCCTTAAGGAGCCTTCCTCCAAGTCCTAAATTGATGGTAAAGATCCTCAAAAATCAGTATGCAGAACTGTTGCTGGGGGACCACAGTGGCAATCAGCCCCTTAGATGTCAGAGCTGAGCTAGTTTAATAGTTTTTCCTTTATGCAGGACAGGATCTGGTCCTCTGCCTAGAAACGCATCAAATTCCATATTTGTAACATTTGCTTTTGATTCTTGATCATGTTTTAGGTGTCAGATAAAGATCTGCCACCTTGCCAAATCTCAGTAACAATTTTGATCACGTCTACTCTAATCACTTTTCTAGCTTGTTCTTAGTAAAACTTACATGATAAATGAAGACATCATTTTAGTAAAACTCAATTTTCTTTGTCAATACAATTTATCTTTCCCCTTCAAATGATCTCCTTTTTTAAAATTAAAACTTCTATTACTAGCATTATCCTATCATTTGTTTGGGTTTTTTTTCCCCTTAATCTGTGCTTCCAATCTCTATCTGCATGAAGGGCAAATTGTACTTCAAACTCTTAGGTGGTAACAATGCTTTATGAATATTGGAAGTCATATAGCTTTCTTATTAGAAATAAAAAGTGTCTTGAATTCACACCATAAAACTGCCTTTGGGATTTCAGCACATGTTCTCTTGGAAACCTCAGAGGCGTTGATCAGAGAGATGACTGTCTTTTTGGTCTTAACTCAGAGGAAAAACAGTGTTTTACAAACCCAATTAGAGTTCTTGAAAATGAAGTAAAACCGTTAGAAATGGCAGTCTTGAATGGAAAACATGAAATGGTAACAGGAGTTTGATCTAGCTGTGTGCAGGTCATTCTGGAAACACCTCATGAGCCACAGGAGAAATAATTCACACAGGGAAAAGGGAGGTTGGCAAAGCCAGGCACATCTAAGTTACTCCCCTGACAGTGAATGAGAAAGTTTATCTTCCTCTGAGATAGCAAGGGCTAAATGTAGTCACCTGTATTATTCTCATTTTTTTTTCACACATGTAATTGCGTATCTGTGACTCAGAAGTAAAATGCACGTTCTCTTTGAAATTGAGATCACCCTTCCTTTGCCTGTGAACCAAATGATGCTCTAAACACACTTACTGCTTGCAAAAAAAGAATATCAGTAAACCCCACATTATAACTGGGTGGTGTTTTGGGCTGACACTACCTAGGAGGCACTGTTTTCTCTGGTCTAGTAGATTTTTCCTGAGGATCTTTCCTCAGCTGGACTTCACAAAAACTCAGAGGGTGTGGTTGCCTGCTTTCAACCCAGTGGGTTGGTGCATAAATCCTTCAGGGAGGGTGTAGGAGACCTGTAAATAATTCCCAAGTCAGCTCGAGGAGGCCTGGTGTGTTTGGCCTCCCGGGTGTGAGCTGCATGCACTCTGCCAGCCAGCAAAGGTCTACAGGGCCCTTCAGAGCTGAGCTTTGTCAAATATTCCGCTTGTACGGCTCCGTGCTGTAGGACGCATTCCCGGCGGCAGGAGGAGGTGGGTGAGCTATCTGCTGCAGGCAGGGGGGTGCAAAGGGCCAGAAACCCCACTTGTACCCGCTGCCGCTGCCTCACGACCTCGGCCGGTGTGAGGGGTCTCTGTGCTGCCTCCCCCTGGGGCGCTGGATCTGCCAGCAACGGGTGGAAATTTTGTACCGCTCCAAGAGAGCAGGCCTGGGTCCAAGTCCCTGCTCTAACGGCTATTTAACGGGAGAAAATTAAACATTGATTGGAGGCAGGCGTAGGACCCAGCTATCCCTAGCATCACCCTACCTTCTTTCTGGCCCAATTAATACTTAATGAGTCTGTACAAAGTGATACAGCTTTAATAGGACGGACTGAGAGAGATTTCCTTCCTGCCTCATTAGCCAGCAGTCTCCCAAGCTCTCCCGGGAAAGGGGAGCTGCAGGTTGAAGTTCTCTCAGGCAGAGGAGGAAATTAAACCCGAGTCCTCACGTCCTGTGCGAGCACCGCAGCCACTGACCTCGAACTATGCCAGGGGCACCAGCGGTACCTCCTCTCCCTGCCAAAGGCACCACCAAACACTTAATAAAACCGGCAGCAAATTCTCCACCGTATCCTGTATAAGCACGTTGGTATGTGCTAAACATCGTGCTCTTCACTTCCAGGCTAATATTCATGGGGTGTGATTTGAGAAAACTACAGCAATATTGTAATCAGACTTATTCACCTGAAGTAGCTGTTAGATATTTATGGCATTAATTCAGGCTTAATGGCTTTCTGCCTAGGGAAATCTTTCATTTCAGTAACACATAGATCACATCCAAGGGTGACCTCATTCGTATTTGGAAAACAGATACGCTATATACAGTGTTTTCTGGGGGTTAGTTTTGCTTCTGTCAGTAACTGCTGCCACATTTTAAATGAGATATCACATTTTCGTGTGTATAATAGCGGCCAACAATCTTTTTGGCTCAAAAATAAACCGCAAATGTTCTTACTTACAAATAAATGAACAGTCATTACCCATTGTGGTGTAAACTCGGTGTCTCACAACACATTTCCCTTTACTCCATTTAAATGCAGAGGGGTTTGGCCTTGGTACCTACAACAGTAACAGAAATATTCCTTGTAAAGAAATGAAGCGTACTATGAGAGGAGAAACTAGATTTCCCTTTCTCTTTCCAAATGTTTTCCTGAGGCGTTACCCAAATGTCATTCATACTGCTCGCAGAATCTCCCATGTTAAAAACCGCATTAATTTGGTTTAGTTCTGCAAGGCATTACAGGAATCCATCTGAAACCATGCAGCTCATTGAAATCTTTCTGGTGGTGGGAAGATGCCACCCACACCTCGGGAGAGCATCTGCTGTGTTGTACTCAGCCTCGAAGTAACATTCAAACCTGGAAGTGGCTTAATTGCCTCCTTCAACGCTTCTGTCAAAATTTTGTGCAAGACAGAATGTACTAGGTTGCTGTCAACCATTAACTTTTTCCTACCTCAGTTAAGGTTTGTAACTCCACTGAACGAAGCGGTGTCGCTTTCTCCCCCTTCTCTGCAGCAGAACATTGTGTTTCTGTGTAGGTTCGCTCACACTGAAGCAGCACGTGGCTAAGAGTGAGTTAAATTTCAAGTCTAGTGGTGAATTGTGGGTTAACAGAAATCTTGAGTCTGCATAATAAAAGGATTAAAAAAAGTTGAGTTCTGTGACAGTGCTAATTTGTGAACAGCTGCCCGATTCTAAGCTTATTTATTTCAGACTTTCTAATAGAATTATGAGTGCTCTGCTGCTGAAAAGGAAAACCTTTCTAATTAAGTTCTTACAAAACAGCGTGCGTTATTTACAACGAAGAATCACTTAGTTTCCAACTTTTTCTTCTCATTCATCAATTAATTAAAGTCAGAGAACAGTTTTGACATACCGCCATCATCTGAAATCGTTCTGTTTTATGCCAGAATAAAGCAGCATATAAATTGTTTACAGACTTCTCCTTATTAGGAATACTTCAAAGAATTTGAAACCCCAGATTTAACGCTTGCGGTACCCGTAGATGAACCTGGGGTTCTCCTAACTGCTCCCGTCTCCCAGTGTGCGTAGCTGAAATGATCCGGAGAACCAGCAAAAGCTCCCTCCATTCTAGGGAGGGCATTGGCACGGCAGAGAACCTGCCAGTAAGGCGTCAAGGCCAACTTTGGGGTTTTGTGGCAAAAAAATGGCTTTGTGAGACTCTGCCACTCATCTGCTCCCTCTCATCCTCCAGTTTGGTTTTGTGCTGCTGGTATCTTACTCTAAGAAACTGAGGCCCTTCTTGGGTTTTTTATTCCAGTTGTTCCTTCCTTTTAAGGTGAATCTTTCTATTTTTCACTGAGACTGTGGAATCTCAGGTGTTTTTTTTCTTTCTCTGGTATTGGCCCCATCAATATTTTCCTTCTTGCAGTCATTAGACTCCCACTACAGCCAATTAATCCCGGCCATGCTTGTTTTGTTGATCAGTTCTGATTTGAAAGAATGCTGTTTGCATCTGAACTCAAAATATTACTTCCTACCACAAAGCTGTAGCATTGGTCATCCATTTTTAATGTATTTTGACAATTTGTCTTTTTTGGGGGAGACAGCATAGACATTTATACATGTAGAAGCAAAATAACCCAGTCTGATCTCATTTCTCTATACTTACCAAAATGAAAGTGCTAGTAGAGGAAATGCTCTCAGATGTCTCTCAATATGGAAAAGATAATTTAATATTTCATTTCCCATAATTTCTGCAAGCCTTTTGCATTGTACATATGCATCCTATTGTCAAATCCTCCTTCTCTCCCCAGCTGTTCTGCCAATTACAAGAACACTGCACATCATGACAGAAATTTATGAAGACTTGTTCCACAAATATCATTCCTTATTTGATTTTTGAGATTAGCGTTTCACACCATGTCTTCATAAACTCACTTTCTCTTCTTCCAGTCTTTGAAGGCTATTAACATTTTCTCTCTTTTTTTCTCAATACTCCCTTTTTTCATTTTGTAAAGGGAAAATATTAATATGATTTGCCATACCTCTGATTTCCCTATTTCATATTTCTGAAAAATAATTATCACTTGGAAAATGTATTGATTTGAAAGAAAATTATTCCGGTCCTCTCTGACTTCCATTGTGGTGTTTTCTTTAACTGACCAAATTTTGAAGATTTTCTTTTAGCTTGCACACAGAAGTAGGTAATTTGTTAAAATGCAACACCTTAGTCATACCAAACATCCGAGGTTTTCTCTTTGTTGTCTTTTGTCTTGCAGGTGTATTCTCCCTTATGTTTGCATAATTTCACAACAGCATCTAAATTTTATTTCTGCTGTCCCTTTCTTATTCTGTGACTGCATGATTTCAACACCAATACAGCCTAAATCAATCTCTGGTTAAACTTGTCTTCTAACTGACACAAGGTCTTCAGGTAGCGTAGTTACCTGCGGAAGCTTTTACCACGCTGACTGTGTTGGGATTCTTAACCTCTATGCTCGGGAGGTTTGTGATGCTGGTCCTGGTCCTTCTTTCCTGGGGCAGGTTTGAGGCGTAGCACAGGAACCAAAAACAAACAAGATTGAATTTGTAGGATTCTGGCATTAACCCTCCGCTTCCCTCAAGATTTTCAAGAGGATTTTGTTGATATTTTAGCTGTCAGCAGGTTCGGAGTTAACATTACCACCTTTCTCTTGAGTTCTAGCATCGTACTCCTGTTCTCGCACAGCAGTGGCACTTAGTGCGGTACCATGCTCTAGATTATTTATACAGTTAAACTCACACATTCTGTAAAAGCTGCCTGACACTCCGTGTTGTTCTAGGGTAGCATATGGGGCTGTTGTTCTGATACCAATGAGACTGTTGTCAGGAGTTTGTTGTAGTCTGTAGCTCCAAAACCACCTTGAGCTAATGCAGCAGTGCAGAAGTGGATCTGTGACAACAGGATTTCAATTCTTATTTTCAGTCACCTACATAGAGGATTCCAACCTGCTCACCTCTGTATAAAGAAAAATAATTATCACAAATTAATTCTAGATCACAAACAACGCAGACTGGTGTAATCCATATTTTTCAAGGAAGAGTAGGTTTCCTGTTATTCCATAAAGGAACTCTCAACACTACCAGAATCTACTTTCCTGGAGAGCTCCTGGAAATCTCTTCCAAGTGGGATATCCCTGAGCAAAAAACAGTGAAAGCTGGTGGATGTCACAAATAATAGGCTGGTGCAAGTTATTAACGAAACAAAAGCCTAACAGTAAAGGACAAATGAGTAGATGTCTGGTAGAAATATGTATAATTCACTCTTCAGGTGAAGACATAAGTAGAAACATTCCACTGAGTGACTATCACCTGAGTATGACTTTGAAGAGAAAAAAAAAAAGATGCTTCTACATACTGTGTTATCCAAGGAAACCGCTTTAATCTGATGTCTCTGGTCGTTTGTGGGACAGCAGTAAGGACATAAAGGAGAATTAAACATGTGTCTTAAATGCCAAAGCAGTAACAGTGACCGGTGCATTCCTTTTTTACATTTTATAGATGTTTGCATTTAAAAATGTAACATTATTAAATAAAATCATGCAAATATTAACTACAGTGCACATCTATCAGAGGACTCAGTTTGCCCCACGTTTACAGCTTTAACTGTGGCAGCACAGTTAAATGGTGATGTTCTGGATGGAGCTGAAGAAACCAGACACTAACACAATACCCGGGGATTCAAAATGTGACAGCCTGTCCTGCTTGAGTAAGAACTTTGTAAGGCCTCTGTTATACAAGAATAATTCAGTCTGCACTACCCATATCCTTATTTCAGTATTCAACAAAATAAGAAATCAGCACATCCATTCCACACCAAGTAACCATATGAATAGCCCACATGAAGTCTGTTTTTCTTGTAAAATTGCTGCCAGCCCTTCGCCGCGTGGTGGTCTGGCAGTGGGCAGAGCAGAGCGCCTCTCTGTCCTGCACCGCCGTGCACAAGCCCTGGCTGGAACGTCACCACTGCAGCTTGTACAGAGCTCTTTGGAGGTGCTGACGCCACCTCAGGAATGTCTGTGTCATGCCTGAAAAGCCTCGCAGAAGCCTGCGTTGTCCTGAAATCAATAGTTTAGGCTTTTAAGTCACTTAATGCTTTTGCTCTTAAGTGACCCCAGCCCTACCAGCTGGCCACAGGGACCTGTTCATAAGTGTTCTAGGAAAATCACAAAGGAGGAGGAAAGATGACGTTTTCTGGCCAAGATAGAACTCAGCGAGATGGACAAAACACAAACGGGTTCTTAGACATACAACTGCGGTTTGCTGGGGTACAGATAAAGCATGCTCACTGTCAGCGAGGGCCGGAGAGCTACGTCACCAAACGTCACAGACGCAGAATAGAGAAGTGGCTAAAAACCCACTTTTTCTTTCAAAAAGCCTGTTGTGGTACGTTGTGTAGAGAACTCTTACGTAGCTGTATGCACAGGCTGACAAGAGCTAGTGGGAGCATAAGGCAGTTCATACCCGCGGGCTTGCTCCTCTCTGGAGGAGCCTCTCAGGTGGCTCTCCAGGGCGCTGTGGCAGATGTTCTCTGAGGTTGAGGCTAACTTTGACCTTTTGAATATCCGCCTGCAGGCATCGAGAGCGCTCGGGAGAATGTCACAATTAATTCCTCAGGCTGCTAAACTCTAGAGTGCACCGTGGAAGGAGGAATTGGTAAAACCGGCCAAAGGAATATCCGTGCAGACCAGCAGTGGCACTGGGAGGGTGGAATTCCATAGATCACAGAATCAGCTAGGTTGGAAAGGACCTTGAGGATCATCTAGTTCAACTGTTAACCTAGCACTGACCGTTCCCAACTCCCCCAGATCCCTCAGCGCTGGCTCAGCCCGACTCTTCAACCCCTCCAGGGATCCCGGGGACTCCCCCCTGCCCTGGGCAGCCCATTCCAACGCCCAACAGCCCCTTCTGCACAGAAATCCTTCCTCAGAGCCAGCCTGACCCTGCCCTGGGCAGCTTGAGGCCATTCCCTCGGGGCCTGGCGCTGGGGCCTTGGCTCCAGAGACTCATCCCCCCTCTCTGCCCCCTCCTGGCAGGGAGTTGCCGAGGGCCAGGAGGTCTCCCCTCAGCCTCCTCTTCTCCAGACTGAAC